CTTCTTCGAGGGTTGTTTCCCTCAGGAGGGAACCCAGGTTCCTTAGCTCCCAGAGGTGGAGGCTAGGGAGGTAATGCCATAACAGAGAAGGGGAACAGAAGGAGGAAGGGGCAGGTGCCTGAGATAGGCTCACACTGTTACTGTCACTTCAGCCATGATTAAGAGCCCAGAGGTGGCCCAAATGCACATCCCTTGATTGGGGGTGGGAGCAAAGAGATCTGGGATTTCATTGGCATAGGCAGGTCCTAGTGGAGTAACTCTCTACCAATGCAGATCGCCAACTGGCTGATCATTCGTAATGACAGGGAGTTGCGTGGGACCTTAAAAGGTCAAGTAACTTGCAGAGTCACCTGGCCAGGACATGTCAGAAGGTAAACTCAAACATGGGCCAGCTAGCCCTGAGGTCAGTTCTGTATCCACTACCCCATATTCTTTCTCACATGATTTGCCACAAAATAAAATGCCTATGGGTGATTGGGAGCAGAGATTCCTGACATTAAAAAAATGTGTATTTATGAAAAGGTAATATTAAAAAGGACAGCTAGGTGGTGCAATGGATAGTCCCAGTCCTAGAGTCAGAAAGACTTGAGTTCAAATCCAGTCTCAGACATTTCCTAGCTGTGTGACCCTGGGCAAGTCATTTAACCCTGTTTGCCTCAATTTCCTCATCTGTAAAATGAGCTGGAGAAGGAAATGGCAAATCGCTCCAGTATCTTTACCAAGAAAACCCCAAATAGGCTCACAAAGAGTTGGACCCAACTGAAAAACAACTGAACATACACATACTACCATCCACCATTAGAACAAAGAACTACAGTGTGAAATAAAACAATCCACTGACCACTCTGATAATGTACACTTTATTCTGCACCAGTAGCTCACCACACTTCCCTGCCACTGTGGAGGGCACCCCAATCTTCCAAGCTCACAGCCTCAGTATCATCCTCAGCTTCTCTCTCTCCCCATGCTCCTCCAACCTAAGCAACATCTCTCACATGTCACCTTCTCTCCACTCACACAGTCACCCTCTAAGTTCAGGCCTTCACCACCTTTTGCTTGGGCTATTGCAATAGCCTCTAACTGGTCTGCCAGCCTCCAATTTCTCCTTCACCACAATCCATTCTCCATTCAGCTAATAAGGTGACATTTCTAAAGCACAAGTCTGACCACGCTCCTCTGCACTTAATAAATGTCAAGGGCTCCCTATGTTCTCCTGGATCAAACACAAAATCTTCTATCACTTAGAGCCCTTTATAACTTTGCCTCTGCCTATCTTTCTAGCCTTCTAGTTTTCCACATACACATTCAACAATCCATGACACTGATCTACTTGTAATTCCCTTAAAACGTCACTCCGTCATCAAACATATCTATGCCTTCTTATGGATGTGTTTTCCCTCCTTAGCTCTATCTAGCATCCCTGGCTTCCTTCAAGACTCAGTGCAAATCTCACATTCTGCAGTAGCCCTCTCCCAGTCCCCCCAGCTAGAAATGCTTTCCAATTGCAGATTACCCTATAATCACTGACTCTCTCTCTCTCTCTCTCTCTCTCTCTCTCTCTCTCTCTCTCTCTCTCTCTCTCTCTCTCTCTCTCTCTCTCTCTCTCATCCTTCTCTGATTTTGTCTGTATCCGATTCTATATATCTATACCTATATATCTATGTAGAGAGAGAATCTCTTCATCTATCTATATCTTGTCTGTACCAAGTTATTTATATGTCTACTTCTTCAAGGGAGGGACTGTGTTTTTGCTATTCTTTGCATCACCCATGCTTGGCACAGTACCTGGCACATAGTAAGAGCTTTATAAATGCTCATTGACTGACCTCCAATTTTCTCTTTTTGAAGACCTTTCTAGCCTTCTTCCTATTGGGTTCCAGTTCCCATTTCTCCTCCCCCACCATCACCACTCCTTCAGCCTGATCTTTATAGGGGTCTCTCTCCCCAGTCCTTTGTGTCTAGGTCTCTCCATCTTTGAAATGGGAAAATCCTCTTTATTGTCTTCTCTGACATTTCAAGAGGAAGGAAGCATTAGCTTTGGGGCAACTGGTGCTTTCTTACCTCTCTGGGAACAGGGGTCTTCTTCAGGCCTCTCATGATTCCTTCTCATTCCTAACTCCTACACCCAGGCCTCCCCACAGTGACTTTCTCTCCTCTCTTCTTCCCTCCCTAACTCTGGCCATGGCATGGACGTTGGACCAGCGACCCCTGGGAAAATCTAGGCTGTCTTCCACTAACTTGCTATGCAACTTTGAGCAAGGCATTTGGCCTTTGTTTCCCCATCTGTAAAATGAAAGGGTTAAACCAGATGATTGCTCTCCTGCCTTCCAAAGCTCTAATGTCTTCACATTCTCCAACACACTAAGAAGTAGCTGTGAAAAGAGAAGCTAACTTAGTATCAGGAAATTTGGATTCAAAACCTAAATCTGCCCCTTACCAACTCTTTGACTGTGGGTAAGTCATTTAAAGGACCAACTTATTTCTATAGGTCTTTAAGTCTATTCATTAGGAAACAAATGCAAGTATTATATTATTCCCATTTTACAGATGAGGAAATTGAGGCTCAGAGAGGCCACTTGCCCAAGGTCACACTAGTAATTGGTTGAGCTGGAATTTGAACTTGGGGCTCCTAACCCAAATCTACACCACAATGCCATGAAGTCTTAATTGAGTCTCAACTTCCTTAAATGAAAATTGGGGTGACAATACTTGGTCCTTCTACCTCACAGAGCTGTGAAGGAAATGCTCTGTAGACTGTGAAGACCTTGGTGTCAGGGCCACTGGGATTATCATCCTTGGCCACTGTAGGGCTGAGGAAGGGGGGAGGAAGAGGGTCAGGGAGAAAGAAGTTGAGAGGATTTGAGAAGCGAGAGCAAAGGGATGGTAGAGGGGATAGAGAAGAAGGAAACAGCTGGATTGCAAAGTGTGCCTGATGCCTTGAAGCAAGAATCTCCTTCCTTGGAACTTGGTAGATCATAATCCTCACACTCTGCTATCTGCACCCCACCCCCAGTGGAGCTGGGCTGCATGAGCCATCCACGGTCTTTCCCCCAGGCCCCCAGGTAGGCAGCTATCTGGGGAGCCTGCAGGGATCCACCCCATGACCTCAATCTCATTAGCAATGAGTTCCCCATCTCAGACTGCCACTGTGGCTCAGGTGCTAAGTCTCTCCAAGCCCCTCCCCACTCTCATCCCCTTCACCAGACTTGAAGTCTCAAGGGCCCCTGTGGCTGGAAGGCACCATTAGTGACCCTCCGGGGGCCTTCAGTCTCTGGCATGTGCTAGCAGGAGGAGACAGACACAGACACAGGAACCTTCAGGCACTGGGCCCCAGCTGGGATCAGGCTGCCAGGCGGGGGTGGGGAGAGCTAGTGTCATGGGAGAAGGGAAGGATTATTAGCAGGAGAAAGAACAATGATGTTTATTTGAACATCTTTCTCCAAGGATCTCCAAGCACTTTGTAGACATGCTGCTCTCTCTCATAAAACTCCTGGGGTTGGGGGCTGGGGGTGGGGTGCTGGTGATGGAGAATGACATAATAATGACAGAATTCAGCCACTGGAACTCACACCTCCCACTTATCTGAACACACATACATTTCCTACTTCCTGTTCTGTTCCCCCCACCCCCACCCCCACCGCCTTGACCTATATACTCTTTATGGACCAGGATATATTCTAGGGCAGCTCCAAGAGGGAAAGAAGGTCCAGAGATGAGGGTCCTTTATAAGAGTCTCCCAGACTCAATCCAGGCTGAGCAAAAAAAAAAAAAAATCTCTGAAAACAACTTGTCCCTTCTGATCCTGAACTACCTTCCCAGGACTGCTTGGAGCTGCCTATGATGGGGGTAGGGGAAACAGGGAAAATAGCCTTTTCTCTCCTCCTTCCTCTTCCTTTGGCTGTCCTCCCCAGATGAAATGTCTGCCAAGGGACAGTGCTCAGTCCGTGTGAGAGAGATTCCCGAGGTCTGAGTCCAATACAGAGGCGCTAGAATAGAGCCCAGCGCAAGTGGGTCCAGAGACTTACCTCACTTCTTTCTCTTGGAGGGGGAGGGGAGAAAGCCGTCCAAAGAGTCCCTGTCGCTCTCCAAGGTGCTTAAACCACCTTTTATGTGCTCAGCTGCCATCCTGGCTCCCCACTTGGTCCAACCCATTTGGGGGAGTTGTCAGCCCTCAGAGCATCTCAGAGATTACTCCAGGGATTAGATCTAGGGCTCTCTCCCTACTCTCCTGGGGCCCTTCTATCTTTATAGGCTCCTAAGATTTAGAACTGGACGGTACCTTGGAGATCATTTAGTCCAATCACCTTGATTGATGAAGAAGCTGAGACTCACAGGAAGTGACTTACCTACGGCCACACACAATAAAAGGGCAGAGCTGGGTTTAAGGCTGGGTTTTCTTACTCCAGACTCAATGTCCACCTCCCCCCTGTTCCCAGTATGCCTTGCTTAATCTCCCTTCACCTCATATACCGTCAGTCAGAGGCCAGCTTTGCCCAGCACAGACCTCAGCCTCCCGATGGTGGTGGTGGTTGTGGGGGGAGAGACAAGGACACGTGGCTCTGAGGCCCCTTCATTCTAAGGGCCAAGCACCGGCCTTCTCCCCCCTAGGAAGTCCCGTAACCACCAACCAAGGGAGCCTAACGTGAACTGGTGATCCGGGTCGGTGGTCCAGAATCCTTACCCTCTCCACCTCGTCTGAAGCCCCCCCGCCCGCTGACCCCACCTCCAATTCTGGCGGAGGGGAAGGGGGACCCAGAGCGAGCCTGGGAAATGGCATCCGGCACCCTCTTCTTCCTCCTTGGTGCCCCAGCCTCCCTATCCTAATACCGACCCCCGGCCCGTCCGGTACAGCTCCAAGACGGGAGGGGCTTGCTCCTGGGTTAGGGGTAGAGGCTGCTGTCCAGGATGGGGGAGAAGGGGATCCCTAGTTACCCCAGGTTAGGCGAGGAGGGGAGAGTGGGTGGCGGGGATGCGCGCCCTGGGGCCCTCGAGCTTCTCACCTGAAATTGGGAGGCGACACGATGTGCAACCCCAGGAATGGGGAGGCCCCGGGCGTGGACGCGGCGCCCCCGCCCCCAGCGCGCCCTCCGCTTTCTCGCTCCGCCATTCTCCCGGCGCAGCCCAGGCCATCCGGGCGGGCGGAGCGAGCCAGAGAAGAGGAGGAGGAGAAGGGAAAGAAGGAGGAGGAGGAGAAGGAGGAGGAGAAGGAGGAAGAGGGGGAAGAGGAAGAGGGGGAAGAGGAGGGGGAGGAGGAAATGGAAGAGGGGGAGGAGGGAAAGAAGGTGGAGGAGGGAGAGGAGAGAGAGGAGGAGGGGGAGGAGGAAAGGGAGGGGGAGAAAGAGGGGCAGGGGGAGGAGGAAGAGGAGTGGGGCGGAGAAAGCTGCTGCTGTAGCCTCCCGGCACCCGGAGGGGAGGAGGAGGAGAAAGGGGCGGGGCGCACCTGCGGAAGGCTCAGCCACACCCACAGTCCTGGGCTCCCTAGTCTTGGGGCTGGGCATCTGCAACCAGGTACGGGGGCAGCCTGGGCAGCCGAGAACTTGGTGGAGGCAGGGACTGGAGAGGGTCCCAGCGTTGGAATTGGCTGGGTGGGAGGGACACTGAGGGACAGAGAGAGGAAACGCTGTGTCCTCTCCTCCGCTCTCTCCTCTCCTCTCCTCTCCTCCTCCGCACCTCTGCAACCTCCAATACCGCGGGGTTGCGCCGCCGCCGCTCTCCAATGTTCTGAAACAGCCCTTTTTGTGGTTACTTACAATCCTGTTTCCACCCCCAACCTGTGCACTCTATTTTGGGGGAGTTGTCAAGCCTCAGAATATCTCAGAGATTATTCCCTTCCCTGAAAAAAAATATGCAGAATTACTGAGATTCAAAAGCCTGTTGTTTATGTGGGACCTTCACAGTCTTCTCCACTGGAGCTCAGGTGGAGTGGAAAGAGCCCTAGGTCTGGAACCTCGCGCCTCCTCCACTTACTCTCCGTGGGGGCCCCAGACAAGTCCCTTTCCGGTCTGGGCCTCAGTTTCATCTGGGCCTCTGCATGTAAAATGAGGGATAAGACTACACGTTCTCTAAGGTCCCTTCGTTTTCGGAGCTGCACATACAAAATGAGGAAAGGGGAGTGGGGGAAGTGACGAGGTGGAGAAGGTGATCCGGATACACGTCTCCCCACTCGGATCCATTTCTTCCTCGAATACCTTGGATAACCTTTGGTCCCAGAAATCTGGACTCTGTTATAGGCTCGAGTGTTAGAGGCTGGAAAGGACCACAGAAATCAACTCTAACTACCCCCACTTTAGAGAGAAATGTGGGTCTGGAGAGGCCCTTGGGCTGTAGAATTTGCAAGGTCCCACTGCTCATGGGGTGGCAGGTTTGACTCGAACCCGGATCTCTTTATTCCAAGGACAATGCTCTCTCCACTACATCGAGCTGCTTCTTGCCCTCCCCTGGGGCTTCTTCTCCTGGCCTCTGAAGTCCCCTTCCCAGTCCTGGTCCTTTCCCACCTCCTAGCCCCAGATCAGTTCCAGACTAGAGATACTGTATCCTCTCTTTCCTAGTTCAAGTCTCCTCAGACTTCCCTACCCCCAAGGCTGTCAGCAATATCTCTGGTTTTCTCACTCTCTGACTCTCTTAGCACCTCCATAGCTTTTGCTCTTTGTAAAGTGCTTCTCTTTAGGCTAACAAACTCTCTTCTCTGCCAGGGCACAGGCTCTGCCTCCTGAATATCCACCCATTAATTTCATGACTTTCTGAGTCTTGTTTCAGATTCTAGGGTTCTCCTACCTCTTAGTCATTTGAGATTATTTCTGTTATTTTTTCTTCTTTGAGGCCTCCACCGACACAAAGCCTAGGCTGAGTCGCTCGTTCCTGGTATACCTACCTTGGCTCTCTCCTCTCCAGAGACTGGCACCTATGCTCTTTGGCCCTGGGAGCTCCTAAAATACACCCAATGAGCTTCCTATGGAAATTCACCTAATGAGCCAGCTTATTACTGTGGATGCTGGCAAAGACCAGGGCCCCTGCAGCCTGTAACAGGCTCCAGCCCTACAGTTGATTGGGGTTTCCTGACCCAAGGATTATGTACTGGATGTCTGTTATCTCAGCATCCACACCTCTACTCCCCTATGAACCCCAGAACAGCCTCCTGCTTTCCCAGGCTTCAACAGTCTGGCTCCAAGAAAGCATCTTCACCCCAGTGGGCTCCTGCTAAGTCCTAGAATGAATGCTGCACTTGAAGTCAAAACTGGTTCCAAATCTTTGTTGCTCATTTCTATGGCCTTAGGCAAGTAACTACATCTCTGTGGGCCTTGGTAGAGTGAGGGGGCTGGGCCAAGAGGTTCCTCCTTCCCCTAACCCTAGGATTTCTGTAGGACTTGAATGTTGTAACTTTCTCATCTCTGCCTTCTGACACCTAAAGAGAGATGACGGAGCGAGCACCCCCCCCCAGCTTACCCAACCTTAAGTGACTAATAGGTACTGCTTAATAAAAGAGGGAGGGGGATGTGATCCCCACTACCTACTCAATGTGCAAACTCCTGATCCCAGCATTCAAAGTCCTCCCCAAGGTGCTTTTCAGCCTCACCCCATTCTATATCCCTTCTATCTTGCATCTATGCTGCCCTTTCAGATGTCCATGCTTCTGCTCACGGTCTCACACCCAGCATTAAGTGTCTGCCAAGGCCAACTCAAGTGCCACCTTTTCCTCTGAAGAGCTCTCCAACCTTGTTCTTCAATTTTCTCAGAGCTTTGTCCATTATCCTTATGTCCCTGTCATTTGGGGTCTTGTCCTTTCTACCCTCCGATTGCAGATTCTGAGCTCCTTAGGGCAGCTGGTGTCCTACCTTAGCTTATGCAGCCCTGGCTTAGTCCCTTGTATATGATAATTGTGCTTAATCAACATTTGTTGACTTGGTTGCTTGGCACAAACCCCCACAGACACTGGCTCCATGGATGGAACACTGCTAAGAACAGTCAGACCAAAAGCATCTGCAGAGAACATTCCTAGAATTCAGCAGGCTGGGTGGCCCACTCTCATCCTGAAGGATTAGGCTCTATCACTGCACTGCCGCTAGAATACTGGGCCCTCTTCCCATGGGCCTTCTCAACCTCCGTAGTGCAGTTCCCTCTGTGGGAACCATGGCTGTCCAGTATTTCTGGAGGTATGGGTATATGGGGTTTGTTCCCATCCTGGCCTCTGTGCCCTGTGAGGCCTCTTGGAGGAAATGGGGAGGTGAGGATTTCTTTCCCTCCCAGCTCCATTCCCCCTACCCATTCATGCCCTAAACTAGCCCTTATGATCTTAGAATCCAGTCCACACACAGATAAAAGGAAAGCTGGCCCAAGACTAGTTTAAAAAAGGCTACTGCTCAGGTCCAGCTCCAAGAACGAGGGAGGGACACCACCTTCCCCGCTGGGCTACACAGTCTTGGCATCTAGAGAGGCCAGTGCTTGGCCCAGCTGACTTATTAGTGACTAGGAAGTTGAAGGTTGGGTTGCCATGGCACTACTGGACCAAGACCAGAAGCACGCTGTCCTGATGGTGGCTGGGGGCTCTCCAGGCAGGTGCAGCAACAAGGCTGCAGCAAAGGCCAGCAGATAAGGGTGCTAAGACCCCACCACTGAATTCAAGGTTCTCGGGCTACAGAAGCAGCCAGGACTTTTCTGTCCCCTCGAGGGTGCTACAGCTGTACTAAGGGATCCTACCTTGGGCCCAGGCTTGCGGCCAAGCAGAATTTGCCTCCCCCAACCTCAAGTCTGGGGAACAACTTTCTCCACCAGAGCAGTGACAGCCATGCCCACCCCTGGCAGCCGACGGGACAGACAGCACAGCCACAGCACAGGCAAGGTCGGACGTTTATAAAACAAAAATACATTTTACAGGCAGACCACGGGAGAAACAACATGCCTTTCCAACAACAGAGAGCAGCTTCTGAAGTCTCTGTGCAAAGGGCACTGGGCCCATTGCCGTCAATGCTCAGGGTTCCCTGAAGAACGAGCTGGGGAAAATCTTGGTGCAGTGAGCCTTGGAGGCCAGTCTAAGGTAGGGGAGGGAGGGTGAATCCAGGTCTGGAGAAGGCTCATCCTGCTTCATCAGCAGCGCAGACTGGGGACAGGCTACACGCACCAATAAATTAAGGAGGGGGTGGGGGGCAGAGGACTAGGGGTTTTGCTTTCTTTGGGGGGGGTTACAACTATCGAATGAGATGGGGAGAGGGAACCAGCAGAGTTATCTGACCCGGACCCCCACTCTGAGGCTGCTGCTCCATCTTCTCGCACACCATCAGACCGGTCTGTGCCCCGTCAGCAGCAGTGGCCCCCAGTCAGCAGGGAGTGTAGAGCCTTGGTCTATACTAAGCCCCACTTCCCACTGCTCCTTTACTCTCATGACCCCCTCTGGGACAAAGTGCATTTCTAGAGAAAATGAGCAATGGTTTGGACAAGAGTTGGGGGAAGTTTCAGGAAGAAGGTGGCGAAAAGCTGCGGATGAAGGACAAGAAGGCCAGAAGGGGACAGTATTAGGAGCCAAGGAGGCTGCACAGCTTCTGGTTATGGGGAGGTTGGAAGAGACACAAGGCCCTGGGACCAGGTCAGTGTCACAGAACCCAGAAAACACACACACACAGACACACACACACAGAGTCTTTCTGCAGCCCCATGAGAGGCAGGAGTGGGAAGGAAGACTTTTCCAGGTGGTTACATTATACTTCAGTTGACTCCAAGTTTTATTCCACCCTGGCTTCTGACCCAGCCCAAGGCAGGCCTTCGCCCCTGTAGGGGAGGAAGAAGAAACAGGGGCGGAGAGGGGGGACAATGATGGAAGCAGGAGGCCACTGGACCCCGCTGGAATTTGGGCCTCCCCTCAGCTGACTCTTCCTGGCCATCCCAGCGCGCTGACCAGTTCCCAGGCCTTGGTGTCCAAGGCAGCAGGGGATGACCCCCCTGGGGCTGACTGGCAGCCCCTGGTCAGTAGGTGGGGTGGGTGGGAGAAGGGCGGGAGGCCACCACAAGAACTCCATGAAGAATTCAACCTGCTGCCCAAGCTGAGGTAATGAGTCCTCGGGGAGCAGGGCAAGGCAAAGTGGACTGGGGCAGGTTCCCAAGGGGTCTTCCAATAGCCCCCTGCATGATGCCATGCCCAATCAGCCCTCCTGCTCTTGGAGGAGGAGAGAGCTTCAGCCTCTCTTAATCTAGGAGATGCTCAGGCTCCACCACAGACAGCAGGGCCTGGCACTGGAGGGCTGGGGTCTGGGCAAAGCTGGGCAAGTACAAGGCCTAGCCAGCATCATGGCCCTGATGGGAGCAGAAGCACAGACCTAGCACCCTGATACAAGCAAAGGGGAGGACAAGGTCACCTGCTCTGGAGGCCCTTCCTGGGGCCCGACCTCTGGGCTTGTGGGGGGGCTGGACAGCTGCAGTCCAGGGTGCCTCCAAGAGGCCTCCTCCCCACCACACATCACATCACGCCCCTCCTTGGCTCCTCCCCACATGTGGGCACACACACAGGCACACACATACACTCTCTTCTCAGGGGACTTGCTTTCCCTGCAGTCTGTGGTCTACTGGCATCGCGGTCACCCTGTGCCCGTCTTTCTGCATCTGCTCAGCTCTGCAGCTGGAAGAGGAAAAAGTTCAAAAGCAACAGTCAGCCAACATCAAACCAGAGGAGCACAGTGTTCCCTCCCTGACCCGTCCCCACTGTCCCCCTCCCCAGGACAACCAGCCTGTGGCCAGGGGACAATCGAGGGGGGCGCTGCTGCTATGGGCAGCGTGCTCTGTCCTTGGAGGATGGATGGGAATGCCATGCTGAAATTCAAGGGGATGCTCTACTGAGCCAGAGCTTCAAGGGCGTCAGATACTCAAAGTACGCCGCCTCCCAGACAGGAGAGAACGACTGCTTGGGGCAGGGCCTCAGGATGAGGCAGCTCTGAACCACTAACTTCAAATGGGAAGGAGCCGGGTGGGCTCCGGGCTCGTGGCCCTGCCTGCCACACACAGTCAAGGGAGCCCAGGTTAGGGCGAGAAGGGGAGCAAGGGGACCAGCTCGGGAAGATGCAGACATCGCTCGGCTGGGAGCAGAAGGCAGAGGCGGCTGATGGCCAGGGCCTATCTATACAGCGCCACTGAAACAAAACTGGAGGAATTTTGTCACCTGGGGCAGATTCAGTCATGTATATGCATGTGAGTGCGTGTTAAGTATAAGGGGCTGGGATCCTACAGGATCTGTGGGATCTTCCTCACAGAGCCGAGGAAGCTGAGGAACCTGGGAAGGGGGGTGCCATTTTGGGGCAGGGAGGCTGGGGACAAAGATCACTGAGGCTCCCGAGAAGACGGTAGCACACTGGAGTGGACTTGGATGGAGGGGCAGCTACCGGATGGCAGCACAGGAAGGGTCAGGACGTGGTATGAAGACTCAAGAAGGTGCTGCCTGCTTGTTCCCCCCTAGCAGAATGCCTGGAAGGCACATGATAAATGCCCGGGGGCATGAGGGAAGTAGCTGATGGAAGAAGCAGAATGAGTTTCCTCTCTGTCATAGTGACTGAAAGGAAGGGACCTGAGATGTTGAGTGCACAGAGAGTTCCTAAAAGGCACCGCCTACGTCTCAAGATGTTAGGAAGTGCAGACAGCAATGAGCCCCCCGAATGCTATGAGCAAAGGCTGCTGGTCGGTGTATGTGATCACGCCGATGGAAAGAAGGCATCCCGAGAGGTGGCGCGGGGTCTGACGGGCACAGGGATGGTGGGTTATGACATTCATTACAAAGACCCTGGAGGCTGGAACTCAAGCTGGAATCCCCAACCTATGGAGATTTCAAATTGCTCCATGAACGCAGTTATCTGAGAGGGGCCAGGACGGCAAGGCGGCTGAGACAGAAGGATTTCTGTGTCGTCTGTGGTGGCATGCCATGCTCACAATGTGAGTGCTTGGGAAGATGCACTTCCTCAAACTGTGCTAGAGCCCAATTTTCACGATCAGTAAGTACAGGTTATCCATAACTAAAGGTTGGTAAAGCCTTTCCGTTTCACGCAAACACCTTCTGTGTGTCTGATACATAGGTATGTACGTGAATGTCAGCACGTTGGCGAGCATTTTTATACTGACTGTATTCCAGACACTGCGCTAAGGACCAGGAATAAAGAAAGCTAACCACAGCCCCTGCTCTCCAGGGGCTTGCATCCTGAGAAGGTGCAGCCGTGCTATGAGCGGGGTGGGGGGGGGTGCCAGGAAAGGCCTCCTACACAAAGGGGATGCTGAGCTGGGAGGTCCAGGAGACAGCGGCTGCAGCAGGCACACATACGTCCAGGACCAGATCAGAGAAGACTAGAACACGGCAGGGCCGGTGAGGGCCTTGCAGCAGGCCAGAGGACCCAGTCCCCCAGGGCCTGGCCCAGGGCTTGCATGACAGGGCTCCTGAGAAACGTTTGCTGAATAAGCCAGTCAGTGACTGATCTTGCTTTCTGACAGGGCTGCTTTTGTGAAGGGAAAACCTCCTGCCCCTTAAGTTTGGAGTCACACTGGCCTGGGGAAAGCCTCCCACTATCCCAGGGGCCTCTTGCCCTAGTCCAGTTGCACAGAAACTCACGGGGCTGGGGTGGAATGAGGCAGAGGTTGGCTACAGACTGAGGCACAAGGCCCTGGGTCATTATGCTGGGTCAGCAGATGAAGGACAGTATGTTATCAGTAGAGGGGTGAGTCGTACCTCACAGTAAGAGATGATGGAGGCACAGTCAGAAGAGGTGAGGTGGAAACCCTGCTGGGAAAAACCCATCTTGCAGGTAGCCAGCTCCTTTCAATCTGCCCATAGCATGAGGCAGACAAGACTGCACACAAGGGAGGTAAGACTGTTTTAAGCTTCCATCATGGCATGGGACAGGCTAGACAACTGTGCACATATGGCACTTCCTGCTCCCTAAACAATGCCCCCAGGAAGCCCAGAGCTCCCCCCAGGTCCTGGCTGGCTCACCTCCAGCCAGGTGGTGGCCTGTTGGCTGGGGCTGGGGGGGAGTGGGTGGAGGCCCAGCAGCTAAAGGAGCTGGAGAGCCTTGGCCCAGAAGCTGCAGCCTCTGGGAGGAGGACAGGGCTTTGGTGCCTACTCCCAAGTCTTCTGTGGGGAGGTCCGAAGGCAGCTCTGTGCCCGCAGGAGGCAACACCCACGAGGGCAGGCACCAGACTGGGAATCATCCTGACCACCCAAGACCTTGCTCTTAAGATGACTGAGTCTCTTCTCTTTGGGCCTCAGTTTCCTTCTCTGTAAAGTGAGGGGGTTGGAGATGATCCTTGAGGTCCCACCCAGCTCCAAATGCTGGGATTTTGGGACCCCATGACCAGAATTCCCTGAAAGTTTCAGACATGATAGGACCACGTGACCACACAAGTCTTGTCCAGAAGATGCTTTTGGCCCTGAGCAGCCAAAGAATAAATTGACAGGTAGTGAAACAACGGGTCAGAAAATCAAGGAGTCACGTTGTTTCTGGAAGCTCTGGAGAATGAGGAGGAGGAAGTTGGGAGAAGGGATGGGATGGGATGGGACGCTCCTTGCAGCCCCACTGCATTCACGGGGCTGTGTGCCAAGGGAGGGAGGCAAACACGTGCTCCTGTTCTCCCCAAATGGTAAATAATTAGAGAAATAATGAGAAAACTCTGCAAAGAGCTCGAGTACAATGGAATGGCAACAGGAAGCAGCTTTAGGGATTTACAGGGAACCCGCTGGAACGCTGGCCTGTTCTCTTGGCTCAATGGGCAGAGCGCCCTGAAAGCTAGCCCAGGGAAGAGGAAGCTGTGAGAATCCACTCTGGAGAAGGTTCTGACCTGGCAATTTCAGGACACATATCATGAGACTGACTTACACTGCCACTCATCAGTGCACCCTGTGGATGGCCACAGCTATGAGCTCTTAGATCTTAGAGTGGAGAGGGCCCTCAAGGACTGGCTCGTTCAGGTCTGAATTATCTCCAAGGGAGAGCTGGTCAAGGTAGGGCCAGAGAGGGAAAGCAACTCCCTAGACTGGGGGACAGCCCAGGTGACTAGCGCCCCCATCGCCTCCTGCTCTCGTCACCCATCAGTCCCACCATCTGCTTATCCAGCCTGGGGGCAGGGCTCTGACTGAGGGGAGAGCAACGCTGAATCTGGCCTGAGGCACGGAGTCTAGGGTTCACCCCGTGACAGCCCTGCTTTATCTGCACAGCCCTCCCTGAATGATGGAGGCAGGCAGCTCAGGGTGTGTCTCCACTTCACAAAAAAGGCACTGAGAAGGTCCCAGCCTTCACGCAGGGCCAACATGGCCCTGAGGTCTAATGAACGCACCAGACGAGGGGCAGGGGAAGTCCTGTGCCGCTGGCAATTCTTTCTTCAAAATCACTCTCATGGAGCACCACCAGATGTAAAATGGATAAAGGTGGTATTAAACAAAAAGGCTTTGCACAAACAAAGTCAATGCAACCAAGATCAGAAGGAAAGCAGAAAGCTTAGGAAACAATTTTACAGCCAATATCTCTGATAAAGGCCTTGTTTCTCAAATATATGGAGAATGGAGACAAAACTCAGAGGAATACAAAGCACTCCCCAACTGATAAATGGTCAAAGGATATGAACAGGCAGTTTTCAGACAAAGAAACCAAAGCCACCTATACTCGTGTGAAAACATGCTTTAAATCACCACTGATTAGAGAAATGCAAATTAAAACAACTCTAGGGTATCACACCTATCAGACTGGCTGTGACAGAAAAGGAAAATGACAAATGTTGGAAGGGATGTGGAAAAACTGGGACACTAATGTCCTATGGGTGGAGTTGTGAACTGATCCAACCATTCTAGAGAACAATTTGGAACTATGCCCAAAGGGCTATAAAACTGTGCATACCCTTTGACCCAGCAATACCAGTGCTCGGTGTGTAGACCAAAGAGACTAAAAAAAGAAAAAAAAAGGAAAAAGGGCCTGTTTGTACAAAAATATTCATAGCAGCTCTTTTTGTGGTGGCCAAGAATGGAAATTGAGGGGATGCCCATCCACTGGAATGGCTGAGCAAGTTGTGGTCTATGAATGCAATGGAATACTATCACGGTCTAAGAAATGACGAGCAGGCTGATTCCAGGAAAACCTGAACTTACATGAACTGATACAACGTGAAATGAGCAGAACCAGGAGGACATTGTACCCAGTAACAGCTACACTGTACAACTCCTACATGAACTGTGAATGACTTAGCTACTTTCGGCAATACAGCGATTCAAGACAATCCCAAAAGACTCATGATGAAAAAAGCTGTCTGCCTCTAGAGGAACACCTGAAGGGGTCTGAAAACAGACCAAAGCATACTATTTTTCACTTTACTTTTTTGTGTGTTTCTCTTTTTTGGTCTATGTTTTCTTTCACAACGTGACTCATATGGAAATTATGTTTTGCATGACAACACATGTATAACCTATATCAAATTGTTTACCATCTCATGGAAGGGGGAAGGGGGGGAATTTGGAACTCAAAAATATTTTTAAATGAATGTCAAAAATTGTTTTTACATGAATTGGGAAAAAAATAAAATATTGTTTAAAAAAAGGACAACTCTCATGGCCATAGCCTTCCTCTCCACTCCAAGGGTTACCATCTGTGAGGTTGGGTGTCTGCTAGAGGGCAGCAAAAGTCTCCCCTCCTGCCAATCTAACTTGTACTCAATGCTAGAGCAATCTTTCTAGCCCTTCTTGGATTGAGTCACTCTCCCCAGCTTAACACACTGGCTCCCCATTGTCTTCAGAATAAAGTCCAAACACCTCTGAGGGGTGCTCAAGGTTGACCCCAACTTATCCGGATACATCTCCTATACAAACTTTCTACTCACAGCAGACCTATCATGTCATTCTCCCTAAATATGTCACAGCCATTCCTGCCTCCGTATATTTTTTTCAGAGTACTTCCCTTTCTCATAACCAAATCTTGGACATAACAAAGAAACTGGCTCCAAGAAATGAAGGGTCCTTTCCTAGAAGACAGTCTTGGTTCAGCTGTCAGAGAACCTGAGCTCTGCCACTTGTGTGAGATAAGGCAGGTCATGTCATCTCTTGGAGACTCCGCATGCTCATCTGTAAAATGGCAATATTGAACCATGTGATCTCCAAGCTCCCTGGCAAGTGTGAAGCTGGGGGCCTCTTGTGTTGAGCTCTTCCTGCTCTCTGGCCCCTGCCTGGCTAATCCTGTCTCCAGTTCTGTACTGGACAGAGCAGCTAGTCCTCGAGGCTCTTTAGCATTTTCCTCCCCTAGCTGTACGCTTCCCTTCCTCTACCACCAGGTCTTCCATGACCACAGGCAGCTTCCCTTTCACAGAGGCTCAAAGATGGAAGGGACATGTCAGAAACCACCTGAGAGTCCAACCTCAACCCAGACAAGAATCCCCTTTCCTACATGCCTAGCAAATGTTGACTTCTTTGCTTGAAGACCTCCAGTGGGGGGAGCCCACCACTTCTGAGGCCACCCGTTCTAAGCCGGGGTAGATTGGAGAGGAATCTTGTCCTGACATGGAGCTCACGCTGGCCTCCTGGCAACCTCCCTCCACAGTTCCTGGCTGTGTTCTGGGGGCCCGGCAGAACAAGTATAATTCCTTCTCCAGACAGCCCTTCAGCTGCCTGAAGACAGCTTCCACAGGGACCCTGAATCTCCTCTTTTTCAGACTAATCAAGTGAACAAATGCTGTCTCTGAGCTCCTGTTATGCTGCACCATTCATATGTGACTTGGCCCACACTGTCTTGTACCATTTATTAATTCTTTCCTGGGCATGTCCTGGCACCATCCTCGCAGGACTTCACCCTTCGAGCACCAACTACAATGTGGGACCCCAAGTCAACAGCTCAAAAATTGCCTGCTGGTTTACTGCAAGCAAGTCACTCAATCTTTCTCGTCTTTCATGTCCAGGGCATCGTTTGCCTCCCACAGCTGGGGAAACAAAGGAAATAGCTTCTGCTCGCTATCTGACAGCCAGGACAAATTTCACGAGGTATTCAACGCTCTCAGGACAATGCATGACAACCCTGGTAGTCCTTAGCATCAGTAAGAAAAACAACAAAGAATTTAGAAAAGGAACAAAGGACGTGTGTGTGTGTGTGTGTGTGTGTGTGTGTGTGTGTGTGTGTGTGTGTGTGTGTGTAAATGATACTGCCTTGTTGAAGAGAATTAACCTAAAAATAAAAACAAGCTGACCACCAGAGACCTGAAGACAATAGGGATTCAGAAAGAAAGAGAAACACCAAGTAATGTGGATGATGGCATTTTCAACTCAGGAATCAAAGAAAGACTAAGACAAGGAAACAAATTCCAAAGATGAGGCCTAGAGGGAGAGGGTGGACTCTGGGTAGGAATGCCCAGTGTAAAGACAGAGGCTTTTCTCCAGAACTAAGGAAGCTCCTGCTAAGAAGAGCACTAATCTGGGCACCCCTGAGCTGTGCAATGAGGATAAATGCCCAGGACAATGGCGGGGAATGATGGACAAGTGTGATGACACTTATCAGTGTCTGGATGGTCCTGGGCTAGCCATGGTCAGTCAGCTCTGAGGCCAGGGATCAGGGTCTTCTTCATACCTCTAACTTCCCCAGCAACACTCAAGAGTGCTTAGCACGTTGGGGGCAGTGCTAAGTAAGTACCGTTAGCACAATGATTTGATGGGCATCTTAGCATCTTCTGAAGGGTTAGTGCTGCTCTCTGCTGGCTAGCCTAAGGAATTCAATGTGCTGGGAAACAGGCAGGTGGGGGGGGGACAAAGTGGAGATGAAGAAAGGGGAGAGGGGGAGGAGGAAGAACAGAAGAAACAGGAGGACGGGGAGAAAGGGAAAGAGCAGGAAGGGGGGGAGGGGAGCAGGAGGAGAGCTGCTTCAGAAAGCCTGTGTGGACGGCACACATCCCTCCTTCCTGTCTGCTAACACAGCACAGGCTCTGATTGGGCAGTCTCTCAGGGCCTCGCATCCGGTGTTCATTCTGTCTCTCTCTCTCTCTCTCTCCTACTCTCTCTCCCTTCCCCTCCCCCCTTTCTTCACAGATTCCATTCACTTTGAGGGGAGGAGGGATTGGGAAACAAACATTTTCTTAGTTGGCAAGGAGAGAAAAGGTTTCTGACTTTTTTTTTTCCATTAGAATTTTTGAAAATACTCAATTTCACACAGGTCCTAAGCAACACCCTGCAACTTCTGGATGGTGTGGGCTCTGCCCAAGTGAAAACAAGGCTCAGGAGGTTGGGGTTTGAGGTGTACTGCCCTCCCCCGGCCATCCCAGCTCCCCCTGGATTCGCAGAGAAGGCCAACAGTGCCCAACACTCACCCTGTCCCCTGTCCCAACACCTCAAGCCGGTGTCTCACACTCTCACACTTTGCCAGCCAGGTCTGGGACAGGCAACGCGGCCATCACGCGGGCTCGTTTGCTGTGCTCCTCTCCAGAAGTCTCCTCCACGGCCTCCAGTTTGCGTTTGGGGGATGCTGGGCTGCAGGGCAGGGGCTTTGGGCCTGCAAGGAAAGTAGGGTCAATTTAGAAAGACCTGGAAAGACCTGGAGGAACTGATGCTGAGTGAAGTGAGCAGAACCAGGAGAAAGGTGTACGCAGAAACAGCAACACTGTGTGACGGCCCACTGTGACAGCCTTCTCAGCAATGCAATGATCTAAGACAATTCCAAAAGACTCATGATGGAAAATGCTATCCACCTCCAGAGAAAGAACTCTGGAGTCTGAATGCAGATGGAAGCATGCTATTTTCTCTTTCTTTTGTTGTTTTTTTCTTTCTCATGGTTTTCCCTTTGGTTTTGATTCTTCTTTTACCACATGATTAATGTGGAAATATATTTAATACGATTGTACGTGTATAGCCTATGCATGCTATCTTGAGGAGGAAGGAGGGGAGGAAGTGGGAAAAATTTAGAACTGAAAATCTTATAAACACAAGTGCTGAAAACTAAAAATAAATAAACAATAAAATTTTTTTTTGGGGGGAAGTAGAGTCAAGCTTTGTGTGCCTGTGTGCATGTTCAATCAAAAGAGGCGGAGAAGGGGCAGCTAGGTGGTGCAGTGGATACAGCACCAGCCCTGGAGTCAGGAGGACCTGACTTCAAATCCGGCCTCAGACACATAACACTTACTAGCTGTATGACCTTGGGCAAGTCACTTAACCCCATTGCCTAGCCCCCCCCAAAAAAAAAAAGAGAGACGGAGACAGAGAAAGAAGAAAAGAGTGAAAAAAGAGAAAAGAAGGGAGAAGGGAGGGGGAAGAAGTACTACGCAGGTATGGCCTCTGGAGGCTCCTTGGAATACCTCTGGGCATCAGCAGCAAGAGCAGATCTGCACCCCTCACCCCACCTCCCCAAGCCCAGGTCTGTGGGCTGTGGCTCCCAGCTGCCTCGGATGCTCTGAGGGCCAACACCTGTCCTCTGGGAGCTGGGGCCCATTAGAGCAGCTGCTCTGCCATACCGACCAGAAAGGGTAGCGGAGCTCACCTGTGCCGCTAACACCACTGCCCTGGCCCATACTCGTCTCTGCCATGGGGTTGCTGAGGTCTTCCATGCAGGATGGGACAGAGGCCAGTAAACCTGAGGAAGGGTTGGGAAGCAGTGAGACCAGCAGAAGAAAGGTGAACAAGGCTGGAAAGGATCCTGAAGCTTCCCTTCTGCCTGTTCACCCCCACTACTACTTAGTATGATTGTGTGAGAACACGCTCATCCGTGTGCCAGGGAGGAATTGTGCAGCACGGCCCTCCTCTCTGCCTAGGTGACCTCACGAGAACAGGCTCACAAATGGCTTTCCTTCCTATCACCTCAGGGTGGTCACTGGGGAAGGACCTAAGGCTCAGAGACAAGGGATGGGTCTATACCTGGGGGAGCCCCAGCACCCTCCCACTCCACTGGGCCTCCAGCCAGACAGGGCTCCACACTCACAGAGGCCCCGGTAGCGGGAAAGCTGCTGGTAGATCTGCTTCATGCGCTCGATATTGAGCCGGCTGGTCTCAGCATGGTTGACAATGGGCTTGGGGTAATCTACCCCGATGATGCACTTGGCTGCCTTCTGCACAGACTCGGGGGCATTCCAGGGCTCGTAAATGTAGCGTGAGGGGAATCCTTTCAGCTGGGGTAGGTAGCGCCTACAATGCACACAGAACGCTCAGCACATCCACACTCTACGAGGGGCCCTCAGCACACTCCCACTCTACTTGGGGCCCTCGGCAGGCTCCCACTCTATCCTCTATGCTCGGCACGCTCCCACACACAAAGGGGCGGCCCCTTGATGTAAGGGCCTCAGCATGGTCAGCAGGCTCAAAGGGGTCAGCCCACTCTCTCCCCTACCTGACATAGTCTCCGCTGGGATCTGTCCGGCGGCCAAAGCCCACAGGGCAGTAGCAGTGGAAGAACTGTTGGAAGAAGGCGCTGCAGGACAACCACATCCAGCTGCCTGCATTCACGCTGAAATCGGCATCAAGGAGCAGCTCATCAAACACCTGGGAGACAAGGGGACGGGGGAGATTCACTAGGGGGTGAGGGAGGACGATTTTACCTCTGAAAGCTGAGGTCCGCAGAGGGGGAGGGACTTTGCTGAAGCCTTTCACATAAATAAGCAGCAGAGCCAGCCTGTGAAGTCAGGGCCTCAGCTGGGGGCTTTGGGGAGGCACTGCCCCTGCCCAGCGTGTCCACCAGTCGGGCCCTGGCCATAAGACACTCACCCGCACCCCGCTCTCCCAGCTGACCCAGAGGTCTCCGCGGGTCAGGAAGCAAGCCACAGCGTGCCTGGCCAGGTGGTGGATCCAGCCCTCCTGCCGCAGCTGGGTCATGATGGCATCGATCCAAGGGAAGCCGGTCTTGCCCTCTGCCCACTTGGCCAGGGCTTCCGGGTTGCGGTCCCAGGGGATCTGGATGCAGATGGGGTTCCCCTCCATTCGGTCAAACTTGGGGTTGTTGGTTGCCGCGGTGTAGAAAAATTCTCGCCAAAGGAGTTGCCCATACAGAGACAGCGGCGGGGTGTTATTCCTCTTGACCTGATGTTAGAAGGGCAAGAGGTCACCCGAAAGAGCCAGGCCATTAGCCAAGACCTTTCTACTGGGAAAGCTTGTGGCCACAGCAAGTCTGAGAACAGGGAGTGGTGTGGTGGAAGGAGTCCTGCACTGAACTCAGAGGACCTGGGTTCAGAGCCCCGTGATGACCCCAGCCAGGTGACTTCATCCCTCTGGGCCTTGATTTCTCTTCTTTGGGCTCTAAGTGCCTCTTCTAGCCCTAAATCCTGGGGTTTTATAAAGCCTTGGAGCCCCACTGGAAGCAATGGCGCCACAGGCCTGAAGAGCAGCCAGTGGTCCCAACCTGAACTTCAAGGGCCACAACTTGTGGCTGGACGGCGAGAACATGTCAAGCAGGGAAAAGGGCACCATGTCAGAGGGGGTCAAGCACCGGCCAGAACGGGGCTGGGGGTCAGGAGATCCCCTTGAGCCAGAACAGACTCGGCCCTGCGGTCTATTGTCTGGCCAGTCAAAAACTTTGAAACTTTTCATTTCTAAGTATGAATAATGCTCTACCTTTGGAACCTGGCGAAACCAGCCCCACACAATAGCCTGGGGGTGTGGACACCCAGGACTTGAAAGCCTGTGGACCAAAGTTCTCTTATGTAATCAGATGCTATGATAAAGACAAAGTCACAATTCAGAAATGGAAATAAAAGCCTATTTAAAAACCTACACCCTCCATGCTGACTCAGATGGCTGGGTATGCTTTCTTCGGTCACTGGCTTTAAGGTCAGAAAGCCCTAGAGAGGCCACCTGGCCCAAGTCTCTCATCTTCCAGGTGAGGAACGCAAGGCACCCGGAGAAGAGGGAGGGGATGTTACTGACCCGAAATCCAGAGCTCTCTCCACTGCTCCATGCTGCCTGCTAATGTGTTTCCAAGGCTGGGGATGTTTTCTGATAGAGCCAATCTAAGGTAACCGTGGGCAAACCACAGCTGGCCGGCCCACTACTGCTTCCTTCCCTGAGCCCCTGCCCCACGGCCAGGAGGATGGCCTGAGCTGTGAAAGGGCTCCCCGGGCTCGGGGGCTCTGTGGCCAGAGGCCTTGCCATGCGGCAGCGTACTAGCTTCACCTTCTTATACAGTTCCCAGAGGCGGTAGTAGAAGAGCCGGCAGGAGAGGCAGCCAAAGCGCAGATAGGGGCTGAGGCCCGTGGGGCTGGCCAGCAGGGAGGTGGCGTTCATCCTCGGTCTCTCGTAGTTGGCGACCCAGGCCTAGGAGAAAAGAATTAAAACAAGAAGCATCCCATGTGCCTCCGGAGCTCCTGCAACAGCCCACCAGCCAGGCATCGAACCTCTCTCTTCCCCCGCCCCTTCAAGAGGCCAGGGGTCCTCCTACTCCCCCCAGCCTCTGCTCCTTTTCTGTCACCTGGGGAGTGTCTCATAAGCAAGCACCCAGCCTGGGGTCAGTGGCCGATGACTGCTCAACATTTTACATGTGTGCGTTTAACAGAACACTCTTAGACCTCATCCAGAAGAGTGACTCTAATCATGGGGGCATCTCAGGACCTGAGGCAGACTGAAAGGGGCTCTCTCTCAACCACACCATGGGGCGGCCATTTGTTTCACCTACGATGAGGCGATGACCTGAGGCTGCTCATCTCTCTTGGGGCCAGAGATCCCAGAGAGCACAGGCGGAAGGGAAGACAGTCCTGGCTCAGGCCCCGAAGCTGCTGTGTCCTTTTAAACGCAGCTCCTAACCCTTCCGGGTCTTGCTCACTCGGCAGACCCAGGCCCTCTCACACAGACTCAGAGAACAAACGTGAAGGGGCTCAGAGGATGTGGGAAAGCTGAGGGGGGCTGATTCCTCACACCAGGAACCTTCCCCTACAGCCACCAGGGGTTTCCTCCAAATTCCAGGACAACAAAAGGAGGGAGCTCCCGACCTTGCCTGGGACCAGCACCGTCACCCCGGACGCCCTTTCCAGAGAACCACAGATAACTGACCTCTACTCTCTTTGTTGTCTTATCTCTAGAACCGGGTCAGAACTTTCCTGGTCTACCTACGGGTTTTCCATCTTTCAGCCTGCCCAGATGGAGCCAGCTCAGCAGCCCAACAAAGCGGTCTCCTTAAGACCCCAAACACAAAGTCAGCCCCTTTAGCTCTCCCCTCTGGCCCCGGTCCTGCCATCCCACCTCTCACCCAGGCTCCTCCTAGGCATCTCTGCCAGCTCGGCCGCGATAGGGACGGACTGTCCTCTCCCTGCTCTGGGGCATCAGGCCTGAGGTTCTGAGGCAGGCCTTTTGGCTGCAGCACACGGCGGTGCCCCATGAAGGAGAGCAGAGGCCGCTGACAGGATCAAATCATGCACACTGTGCTAGGCTGTTGGCTGAGTATGGGAAAGGCCAGGGACGCATGTTTCCACAAGAAGTCTTGTACGACTCTGAGGATCCCACTTCCTTCGTCTGACAGCGGGCCAAAGTGCCCTGCTCTCTGAAGAGGGCCTGGGTCAACTGGCGCCTCTCACAGTCTCACCCCTGAGCACGTCAGGGCCGGGAGGGACCAGAGCCCTCGACTGACTAGGTTGTTAAGCCCAAAGGTCGACTCTGGGTCCGCCAGCCGCTGGCCATGGGAAGGACCCGAGGACGGAGAACATTCACAGCAGGCCCAGAGCCCTCATCTCATGGGAGAGCTGGAAGGCCTCTGCTCTGGGCACACGAGTCAAGTGCTCTCTCCTGAACCTGGCCCTGCTGCTTTGTTGCCCAGGGGGCTGTGGCCCTGATGGCCTTTCCTCCCCCTCGTCAATGCCTCTATCAATGTACAGGTGGAATCTTCATGCAGCTCAGAAGTTGGGGAGCAGCGCACCAGGGCAGATGCAGAAAAGCAGGGAGGGGGAGGGAGGGAACAAGTCTGTACTGAGCCCAGAATCCCACCCTCCAGTGCCATACCCACTGGCTCCTCTTCTCTTGGAGAACCTGGAGGCAGCTGGGGCCGGATACTGCTCACACAGGCTAATGATGAGAGCCCACATTGGCTGCCGGACGGTTTACAAACCATTGTTCTCACAACCACCCTCTGAGGTGACTCATACAAGGACCACTTCCCCCATTTCAGAGAGAAGACTGAGGCAAAGAGACACAGTGTGACTTGGCCCCAGTCACATGGCCAGTAAACGGTAAACTAGAAGTCTTCTCCCCCCAAGTGTAATGCTCTCTGAGAAGGGAAGGAAGGAAGGAAGCCTGGGCTTCACACTTCCTCCAGCAGGGATGTGCCTGCTTTCCCCCCACCCCACAGGTACCTACCTTCCTTTCCAGGTGCTTGTCCAGTCGGGCCAGAGCTTCCATCTCTCCTCCCTGCCAAACAGCTGGGCCAAGTCCATCAGTGGGGAACCCTAGCAGAGGAGAGCCAGGTCAGGGGGTGGAGGTGGCTCACAAGGAGTCCACCACAGCCGCCCTACCCTCTCTCCTACACGGCATCCTTCCAGGTCCCTGCTCTCCGGTGGGCCCAGTCTTTCCTCCTCCCGTGACTCTTTCTCCTTTTTCTTCCTGCCCCCTAGGTCACCCTACCCCTCTGGACAGGAAGGGCCATCCCTAGACCCCCACGGCCTCCAGCCTGGCTAGCAGGGACCTCAGTGCTCCTTTCCACGTGACCCTGGGAAGGTCCAAGGAGGCCAGCATGGACCCTGGCGGAGGAAGGCCTACCTAGTTCTTCCAGGGAAGGTACCCCATAGGTGTCATCATGGTTCTCCTGAATTTCAGCTTGGCATCGCTCCATCTGCTGGCTCGTCACACAGCTCACAGGCTTTCTAGGCAGCTCCATGCGGCTGATAATGGCCTGAAAGCGCTTATAGGTGAGGGGTGGCTTCTGCCCATTCAGCTCAATGATCCTGGGGATCCCAGAGGGTACTCAGCGTCACTCACAGGCCTGTGGCTGGGGACCCTGCCTGCTCACCCTAAAAGTAACCTGCCCAACATGCATACCATGCACAAGGTACTGCTATAACACTTCACTGACTTGAGAAAAAGTGGAGGGCAGTATCACCATTTTACAGAAAGGGAAACTGAGGCACCAATGAGCAAAACAGATGTGCTGAAGCAGGATACTAGCCAGCCAGGACAAGATGTCTAGACTCTACTGCCAAAAGAAAAGAAGGCCAGCCACATCTCAGCTGCCCTACTCAGCCGCCTAGCTCCCTGTGAGCCCACTTCCCTACCCTGGAGTGAAAATCAAAGGGGGATCTTTTAGCATGGCCTTTGGGACATTTCTTCCCCTGATGGTAGGAGACAGGGCAAGGCCAGTTTATATCTTTCCCGAAATGGGCAAGAGAACCCCACAGCTCTGCTAGGATCAGCTCTAAGGATGATTAGCTCCGCTCCCGACTTCAAATTGGCAGCAGCAGACACAGGGTGCCCAGGAGGGGTGAGGCTGGGCAGGCCACATTCCACAACGGTCCCCTTGAGCCCCTGGCACCTCCAGTGGCTAGATGCCCCATCTGTGGTGGGGGGAGGTCTAGGGTGATTTACATTATGCAGACCTGCTGTGCCTTTCCTAACAGCCTCCTCTGTCAAAATGAGGGTCTGGCCCTGAGCCACATTCCCCAGACTCCCACTGACATTTAGGCCACTGCATTAGCTCAGTGTTTTATGCAAGACTGGGCTGGCTGGGTTCGGCTCTCAGGCTTTTCCCTTCGTCAGAGATAGCAGGTGGGCGGAGGCCTTGGGCCACGCCTCCTTCCTCCCCCTTGTCCTCCTCACGTGGAAGGGGGAGGGGCGCCATGCTCTGCCTGCTCCAGCCGCCTGGCTCACATGTAGGGCCGTATGACCCAGCTTGTTGCAGTCACCACTAGGTGGGGGTCCTGGGGCTGCGAAGCAGCAGGAGCGCCAATGCTTCCAGCTGGGCTAATCAGGGAGAGGGTTTCCTCCCTGCATCTCCTTTTCCCCTGAAAACCTATTTGCAAAGGCCTGGGAACAACGGAAGCCAGCCACTCTCTGTAGGAGCCGCCACAGCTAACTAATTTAGCTCCATGGCCTGCAAACCCAGACAGGCAGGGCCTGGGGGTTCTGGGCCCATCAGAACAGAGTTCTGGGAAGGGGTGGCTAGGACAAAGGGCAGAAGGACAGCCAGGAGATTAATGGCAGCAGCCAGAGGTACCCATCTCTGCGGGGCCTCAGATGGGGATGCTGACTCGTCCTCATTCCCCCCAACACCGACCACCCAGTGTGACCCCGGGGACACTGCTCCTAAGGCCCTCCCCAGCTCACAGTGCCTGAGCCTGCAGGCCCCTCACCTGTCCAGGTCATAGAGGGTGTGTGAGTTTTCTGTTACCACCTCCACGCCGGCCTCCTTGGCCATCTTCACAATAGCTGCATCTCGCTCCTTCCCAAAGGGCTCCGAGTCATATTCAAAGGTCAGACGGGTCACACCCCATTCCTGTGGAGAAAGTGTCTGCTGGACCCAGGGCTGGGGGGACCAAGGAAGGAAGGGGGCTGAGGACAAACCGCAGGGGCAGATATGCTGCTGGAAACAGAACCTGAATCCTGGGGGACCTGGGCCCTGAGGGGGCTGGAGATGGGCCCACTGGCTTGTCTGGTCCCAGCAGCTGGGAGGCGGCATCCCTGGGGAGCCCCACAGCCCCACCAAAGTCAGCACAGCTGCCTCACTCACTGGGGGGGCCTGCGAGATGCAGGATCCCCCTGGCTCTGCAGCTCTTCTCCTGAGGCTGACACAGCCCTGCAGACCCTGCCCTAGTTTCCCTGGCAGACTTGAGCAGGGAAATAGTTTCGTGGTTTCCACAGCAGCGCTCCTGAGGTCAGCAAACAGAGTTGACAGGCCCTGAATGGCTGCTGCTGCGGCCAGAGCCCCACCGATGACTGACCTCTCCTAATACCCCCTGCAGTTATCCCCACCTGACAGATAAAGAACTAAGGCTAGCAGAGGTGGGCCTGGGCCAAAGCTGCACAGCTGGGCATGGCAGGGGTGGGCTTCCAACCCAAGTCTCTCCTGACTCCAAGGGCAGTGCTCTGACCATCATATTACCCTGCCTCTCTGGAGCAGGGATCCTCACCTACAGCCTCTGCTCTCTCCCCCACCTGGGCAATGGGTACCTGAGAGGCTCAGGTGGGGGCTGGGGGGTGGGAAGAGATACTTTTTCTCCCTGCCAGGATGGGCTTCTGGGGGTACTTCAGGGCAGGGACAACAACCACAAGACAGCACAGCGTAGAAGGCATTTGGCAAAGCCAAGCCTCTGGGGCGACGATGGCCCGAAGTGCTGGGAGCAACCTCCTGAAATAGTGGTCTCTATGTACAGGGCTGTGTGTGCCTCCTGCCAGGCCTGAGGCTAGGCTTTGGCCTGGTCAGCCCGGGTTGGGGAGTCTGAGGGAGATAGGCCATCGCTCCCCAAAACACAGCTCCTGGAGCAAGAAGTGGAGGAACCTGGGTAGGAACGGGAGGCCTAGATCTAGAGCTCAAGAAAACTTAGCAGCGGGCTGGTCTACCCCCTCTTTACAGATGTAAAAACAGGACCAAGAGGGCCAAGGGACATGGTCAGGGTAACCCCAAGCAGAAGAGCTGTGGCCTGAACCTGGGCCTTGACTGAATCAGCCTGCTGGGGGAGATAAGACAGTCACTGCAGGGACTCTCAGAGCATCAAAAGAAGGCTCTGGGATGGCAGGGGGCATGGGCCCAGGCTGGGGTTGCTTAGAGGGCAGAACAGGATATCCCAGAATGCTCTGGCTTTGAGGACTGGATCTACTCTCCGAGCACTGAAGGACACAGATGAACCAGGGGGGCTGTGGCACACCCAAACCGAGATTTTCCAATAGCCTACTGTACAAGAAGGAGAAGCTTGTTTAGCGAGGCTGACATTCCTCCCACCCCCCACCAGTAATCAGACCTGGGCCCCTTCCTGAAGAGAGAAGCCAGCAGCAGAAAGGGCCAGGAGCCTTGTTCAGTCTTGCTAGCTTGAGCCAAGTGAAATATGGAAAGGAAGCCATTAGTGTCTGGGTTGGAAAGTCGGTCAGACATGCCACCTCCCACGTCTGGGCCGAATGAAGAACTTTTCTAACAAGAAACCCATCCCATGGGGCTCCTCCTCACCACTCTTGCCCATCTGCCGGCCATCTGACTTGGAGCCGTGGAGGCCTCCAACTCACTTGGCCTTCGTCCATGTTGGCCCAGGTCAGTCAGGCCCAATGGATTTCTCCCACTCCCTGAGCATCCTGTGGTGTCTGTGGGGACTCCCAGAGTGCTGGAAAAGCTGGATGAGCTATACCGGGGCAGAATCTCAGCGTCAACACACAGGCCGAATTTCTCTCACCACCTACAAACCCATTACCTTGAAGAGTCTTGGGAACACATCAGTTGGCTGTCCTCGGACTACGAAGAGGCGAGAGTTCAGTTTCCTTAAGCTGATGTCCAAGTCTTCCAGGGACTGGAGAAGGAACCTGTAGAATCGAAGCAAGATAGGTAGCAACAGGATAGAAAAAAAAGCAGTTCTCATCAAAAAACATTTTATGGTTAGATCTTTTTTCTTTTTTTAACAGCACTTTAACTTCCAAATACATCCCTCCTTCTCTCCCTTGCCCAGGAAACCATCCTTTGCACCAAAAAAGAAAAAACAAAACCTAACAACCCATCAACCATGTCTGTCAACTGTGTACTATTCCACACCGGGAGTCCCCTGCCTAGGCCAAGAAAGGAGGGAGCCGTCATTTCCAGAACTCTTCTTGAGGGCCCCGAACAATGTCTGCGGTCTGCTGTCACTGCTGTTGTCACTGTATGTGTTGTTCTCCTGGTTCTGCTCGCTCCACTTTGCATCAGTTCAACTAAGGCTCCCCAGGCTTCTTGGAATTCCTCAAATGCACCATTTCTTCTGGCACAATGATATCTCATTATACTCATGCCCCATCATTGTTTAGCCACTCCTCAGCCAATGGGCACCTGTTTTGTTTCTAACCCCGAGATCTTTGGGTCAAAAGGCCTGGAGATGGCAGCTGTTTCTCTCTCTCCTAAGGAGAGGGCCTAGGCCTGCAGACGACAGAGCAGCAGGGCCTACAAGCTGCACCGTGGCGGCCGAGGCCTTGCGGTGGGCGATGCACACAGAGCGCAGGGCAGCTAGTCGTGTGACCTTGGATAATTCCTCCATCTCCCCAGGCCTCAGTTTTTTTCATATTAAGGAAGCTAGATGGTCTTGTGAATAGCTTTAGGCTTGGAGTCAGGAAGACCTACGTTTGAACACTGGCTCAGATATTAACTAGCTGTGAGATCCTAACTTCTCAGCCTCAGTTTCCTCCTCCGTAAAATGGGGATAATACTTATTTTACAGGGTTATTATGAGGATCAAAGGAGATAATACATGCAAAGTGCCTTGCAAGTAGCAAAGCATTATAGAAACACTATTTATTATTGTTGTTGTTACTGTTATTATTTACAAGCCGAACTATCCTCACTTACCCCACCTGCCTCCTTTGACTGTAGGGATGCCAGGCAGCTGCAGTCCAGCAGTCTGGCTCTCTTTGCCCTTTGCCCTGGCATTGTGTCTGCATGCTGATGAGACTGGTGGGTCAAACAGAATCCACTTCTCCAGCCTCTCCTCCAGAGCTGGTCTGTATACATATGGAGCCAGGGCATCTGTTTGGCGTGATTTCACATGTATTGTTTGGCGTGATTTCACATGTATAATTGATGACATATTACTTGCCTTCTCAATGGGTGGGGGAAGGGCAGGAGGTAGAGAGAGAATCTGGAACTTAATTTTTTTAAAGAACATTAAAAAGAAATAATATCAAAGGGCTGGACATCTGCTGTCACTCCTAAGCTAACAGTTTCTGGAGAGTCCAGGGGACGCTGCAGAGATAACCCTAGCCCTTTCCCTTTCTATACGCTGACAACCGGTTTCTGTGAACCAGGATACTTCCAGTCTATTCCTCGGACAAACCTAAGCCTGGCTGTGGTTAAACCATTAACATTCTGGAGTTCTGACCCCAAAACACATTCTTGACATTTGCCCTGGAAACCAAGTGATGGTTTCATCAAGAGAACCTTGGGGGACTTCTTCATTCAATTTTAGGTGACTCTCTACTACTTCAAAAACAACACTTCCAGTATTTTTAAAGGGAACCAAGACAGGTAAGTCTGCAGCGTCCAGGCATCTCTGAGAATCCTAGAGCCTATCCTCTGGGCAGTAAAGCCAGGGAACAGGCATCTCCCCTAATCAGGGCCCTGTAACTCTGCCTCCGGTTTCAACATGTGGAGACTTCCACACTGTACTGTACATAGAAACCCAGCCCCTCCCACAGAGCATCCCATTCCAGGGGTGGGAGGGAGAAGCGTCCAATAGCCAGTTACTCAGACATCTCCCAGCTGCCAGCTACCACCAACCCCAAAGCCGCTGCTGACGTACAAGGCAGGGCGGCCACCACAGACCTACATTCCTACCCAAGCCGATTCCAGGGCTTGGTCCAAAATATCGTGTCAGAGACCCTCCCAGGGAGAGGGGAAGGAGAACTCAGATCGGCCTCATGTTGCCCCATGAGAAATGAAAGCTCAGCCTGTGTGAACTGCTGTGTTCTGAAAAGCTGACGCCTTCAGAAACGGAAAGTGGAAAGAAATGGAAAGGAATGATGGGCTTTTGTGTCACCACTACTTTGCCCAGAGGAAAACTGGGCATGGGCACATAGCAAATGACCTGATGCCACCTGAAATAGGTGTGGTTTCCCACAGATGGTCCAGAAGCAATGGGGTGAATATACATATCAGGACCACAAAGAAACGTCTTTAAGGGAAGGGGGGGTGCCCCCCAGCAGCTCTCACTATGCACTTTGAAGACAACCACATAAAGGTTCTCAGAGCTGGAGGGGCCTTCAGAGGCCCAGCTGAGATGTCTCATGAGGACTCCATGGTGCTCAGGGAGGCCCATTCTACTCTGCCAGAAAGTCTGTCCTCATGCTGCTCTCTTACCAGGTCTTCTCCATACTAGGCACCTCCAGCTCCTTCAAGAGACCAGATGTGCTGGAGGCCCCTGCCTCGGTGGGTCACTCTTCTCTGGACGCTCTCCAGTTTGTCAAAATTCTTCCTAAATGTAGCCGTCAGAGGTTGCTCAGGCTTATTGTTGGCTTACGGCTGCAAGCCATCATGACTAGAGACCTTGGGGCACTGAGTCCAGCCACCTCATTTTGCAGATGAGCAAAGTTAAGTGACCTGTCCAAGGTCACACAAGAAATGGCTGACCCCAACTGATAAATGGTCCAAGGATATGAACAGGCAGTTTTCAGATGAAGAAATTAAAGCCATCTATAGTTATATGAAAAATGCTCTAAATCACTATTGATTAGAGAAATGCAAATCAAAACAAGTCTGAGGCACCACATCACATCTATCAGATTGGCCAACATGACAAAACAGGAAAATGATAAATGTTGGGGACGATGTGGGAAAATTGGAAAACTAACACATTGTTGGTGAAGTTGTGAACTGATCTAATCATTCTGGAGAGCAATTTGGAACTATGCCCAAAGGGCTATAAAAATATGCATACCCTTTCACCCAGCAATAGCACTTCTAGGGCTGTATCCCAGAGAGAGCATACAAATGGGAAAAGCACCCACATCTACCAAAACATTTGCAGCAGCTCTTTTTGTGGTGGCCAAGAACTGGAACTTGAGGGGATGCCCATCAAGTGGGGAATGGCTGAGCAAGTTGTGGTACGTGAATGTGATGGCATACCGTTGCACTATAAGAAATGATGAGCAGGCAGATTTCAGAAAAACCTGGAAGGATTTGTATGGTCCGATGCTGAGTGAAGTGAGCAGAACCAGGAGAACTGCGTACACAGTAACAGCTACGTCGTGCAATGACTGACTTTGATAGACTTAGGCTCTTCTCAGCAATGCAAGGATCTAAGACCAAAAGTCTCACGATGGAAAACGCTTTCCACATCCAGAGAAAGAACTATGGAGTCTGAATGCAGATTCAAGCGTACTGTTTGCTCTTTTTTTTCCTTTTTTCTCATGGTTCCTTCCATTCATCCTAATTCTTTACAACATCACTAATGTGAAAAAACATTTAATAGGAATGTATATCAGATTGTGCGCCATCTTGGGGAGGGGGAGAAAATTTAAAACTCAAAAGCTTATGGAAGTGCATGTTGAAAACTAAAAATTAATAAATTTAAAAAAAGAAACGGTTGAGCCAGTATTGAACCCGAGCCCTCTGACTCCCAACCCAGTAGCTTCTCCCACCACACAACACTGCTCCTAATGTACAGCTCCTCTTACTTATACTTTACTGCTGTCAGGTGCCATGATGCCGTTGGCGTGAGCCTCCCTCTCTCCCTGCAGGTGACAACCACTCTACATCTAGTGGCATTCATGAGTTTCTGTGGCCAAAATAATTTGTCGTCCAATGGCTGGCTAATTTGTCTCTGAACAGAGCTGGGCCACTGCTGGAAAGCAGAGAGACTTTCTGTTGCTTGGCCCCTACGAGCAATTGACCCAGCTGGGTACAACCTGCTAGAACCTGCATTGAACCGCTAAGATCCCAGGATTACATTCCCAGTGGAATGAGGCAGTAGAGAATGACTTCAGGGGGGAGGCTAAGAAAATGGGTCTTTTTCTCAGGACAACATGGTATGGAGGGTATGGAAGGATTTCTGTGGGCGAGGGTCTAAGAAAAGTGTAACCACATAGGTAAAGGGTCCTGGTTGAAGGAGCCAGGGACAGTTAGTCTGGAGAAAAGAAGAGCTGGGGCAGGCATGATAACTGTGGGAAAGGGGTTAGCCCCCTTCTGTCTGGCCTCATTGGGCAGGACAAAGAACAATGGATGGAAACCACCAAGAGGTAGACTGAGGCCTGACATAAGGAAAAACTTGCTAACAAGGAGAGCTCTCCTAAAATAGAGTTGAACAACCCCAAGGCGAGTGGAATGAGACGTCTTTGTCTCCTTGGAAGTCTCCAACCACAGGACAAATGACCAGTCGGTGAATGCTGTAGAGGGGATTACTATTTGGCCAGGGATCAGACCAAACAGTTTCTGAGATCCTTCCACCTCAGGGACTCTGTGACATTTTATTTAAGCTCCAGAAAATGGAGCCAGAAGCAGCCTAGCTCTATCACCAAGCATTCTAGACCCACTTTTGCTAAAATATGTGCACCTCTCCAACTTGTCTGGGGTGGCAAGGGAGGCAGCTGGGTCAGGCTAGGAAAAAAAAGATGCTCCCCTCTCCTGAGCCTGGGGGGAGGCAGAGGCAAAGGCTCTCGGGCTGGGCATTCATGCAGCCATCTCTGATGTTCTTGAAGGAAGCCAGACCCCAAGCACCCCACCCGGGCAGGAGTGTTTACATCTGAACGTGTCACTGCTTCATCCAGTGCCTAGAAGTAACTTGTCTTACGAGCCCCTCGTTTGTCATCTTCAAGATGCATTTTGCCTGTTAATTCGTTTCAATCTGTTTCTCCTCATTAAGACTAAGCTTCCTCTCTACATGCTAATTTAATTTCCCTGGCTTCCTTTAAGTCTCAACTAAAATCCGATGTTTTACAGGAAGCCTTTCCCAAACCTTCTTAATTCTAGAGAATGACCTCTGTTAATTATTTCCTATTTATCTTGTGCATAGTTTGCTTTGTACATATTTGTTTGCATGTTGTCTCCCTCATTCGGAGAGGGACTGTCTTTTGCCTCTTTTTTATACCCAGAGCTTAGCACGATGCTTGCACACAGTAGGCACTTAATAAACGTTCACTGACTGATTCGGCTATGTCCAGCACCTTCTAGGGACAGATGGCTCTGTTCGTCTTTCCTTCTGAGTGATGTCATGCACTCATTATGCTCCATCTGGTGTTCTACTGCTATAGAAAGGGCCCAGACAGAGGCCTGGCTGAATTCATCTTTGTTCATCAGAGCCAAGCTCCTCTGAATTTGGAGGCCTCAGGCTGGCCACCACATACAATCAGTAGCCAGGACGCTTGGGAAGAGAATATGTCTGGCCTAGGGGAGACAGAAGCCCAGATGCTAGCAGAGAGCTGAGGCCCTGCCCCCAGAGCACTCTGTTGTCAGCTCCGCAGAACATCAGGGCAAGCTGAAGCTGGGCCAGCCAGCTCTGGCAGACATTGATATTCTTGCATCAGATATAAGCAAAGGCCTTTCCTGCAGCCCCACCACAGCTTCTACTTATCCCCATGGAAGGAAGAAGAAAGCTCTTCACCCTTGGGGTTCAGAGCAGGGCTCCAGAGTGCAGGGCTTTGATTCAGTTTCAGCTCTTGGCAGAGTAGGTCAGGCCCATGCAATAGAACGGGCCAGAGGCACGGGGAGTGCCCCCCACAAGGGCGAAACCAGGATTCGGTGTGGAAATACAGAGAATCACCTCACTGGAGTGCAGGCTCAAGAAGGGACGCCAGAGGTCCATGGTCATTAGTCCCTCAGGAGAGGGCCTTTATGGACAGAGTCGTGATTCCTTAAGGAATGAATAAGACCCTCCCAGTTCCCCTCACATCTCTTCTAGGCCAAGTCTTTAGCGGAGGGGATCTGTTCTTATTGAATGCCTGAAAGGCCGCTCTTCTGTAAGAGGGCTCAGAGATATTTCATAATTGCTTTTGTGAAATGAAGGCCTTTTGGGGTCCGGTCCTCGCCCTTGGCCAACTTCCCGTCATCAGAGGACAACACAGGCCTCATAAAGAAACAGGAAAGGTAGCACTTCTTCAGCAGGCTCAGGTTTCTGGTCTCTGCTGTATGCATCATTACCCAAATAAGAAGGGGACCCAGGGCCTAGGTGTTAAACCGTTTACAATCATAAAATGCTTTTCCTACTACTGATTTAGAAAGGTGAGGACGGACGGACAAATGGAAAACCCAAACCTTGAAAGCAAAATGGTTAAGTGACTGGCTGGGGTATCTGCTTGGATGGCTTAGAAGAAGCAGAGCCTCCCTGATGAGTGTGCCACGGCTCTGACCCGTGTCCACCCCAGGCTACCACCTGCCTTCTCAGTGATCCGATCCCAGGAGAGCTGCATCCGTACTGGAGTCTGACTGTGCTGAGCCAGCCCCAATCAGAGAGAGCTGACAGGCTGCTCTCTCTAGCTGCCCTCATCCCGCAGAGCCCTCACTTGGGCCCGCCTGCTGACCGCTGCGGAGGCTGAGGCACGCCCTGATGCCCCGGGTTACTGACAGTGTCTGTCTGAGGCCATGTGCAGCAAACATGTTTGTGGCCCCCACCCACACAAGCTGCAGTTCAGGCAGGCCTCCACACAACAAACGGGGGTTCTATTTTAAATGCCAACATCTACAGCCAGAAGGCAGCTCCCATTCTCTTCTTTTGGTTCTGAGGTGTGGCTAGGACCGTCCCCGGGATCCCTGGCACACTGGAGGTGGACGTAGGATGAGGAATGGGCATGAGGGGCGTGCTTGGGAGGTCTAAAAGCAGCTGATGCCACCCAGGGCCACCTGCAAGTGGCCAGCAGCGTGCTTGTTTGACATCTGAACGCTGTGTCATCACGGTCTGCCCCTGGTCACCCTGCCTCCCTCCCCCACCCCCATCTGGCTCCCAGGCCTCAGCAGCACACCAGTCCATTCCATCTGATTTGTGCTGCTTCACCTTCAGCTCCGTCCTTCTGGACCAGCCAACAGCCTGTACCCCACTGGCAGGGTTTTAAGGCTCATGGGATTCGGTATTAGTCCCACAATATATAACTCAAGTGCCCACGGCCTGCCATGTCATGTCCCTCCTTTCACTAAATCATTTGAAAAATAGTCACAGAACATTCGTGGCAAGTACCTAAGTCTGCACCCTACATGGCTCCTGCCAAATTCAAACACCATCAGTAACCAGACACTTTTCAAAGAACCACAAAGTCCTATCCAATTTCCATCAAATAATGCATACTGGAAAGGCAATGTTATTCTGGTCTCTGGCCCTCAGTTTCTTACTCTGTGAGAATAAGAGACCTCAAATGTGCCAACTCTAAATCCTATGAGTCGGTGAAATGCCCCCTAAAACGATGAGACAAGCAGGTGCAAGACAGCCTGTGGGCCACGGCCCACCTGGTGCACTGCCATGTGAAAGGAGCCTAATCAAGGTTATTTTATTTGCTAATCAAAAAAGACACTGGGGGGAGGACAGTGATGCTGATACTGATGATGGGCACTGTCACCTATCACTTGAGGTCATGAGTTTAACAGACCAGGCTACTATTTATGGAAACTGAAGCACAAGCGTAATGAATGACAACGCAGGCCGACTCAGTGACCACAGCTCTACTCAAAGGGCACCTAAGAGGTCCCAAAGTCAGCAGCTGCTGCCAGCTACTCAAGGGGAACAGCCACCCTGAACCCAGAAGCACCTCTGCCTACCATCAAACGGACCCAGGCAAACATCCCTCTGGAACAATGCAAACAAACCATTCTGTTGCATCACATTTTAGAGTACAGTGGGTACACAGTGTCTCCAATCTGCACTGCTCTCGCCTCCGGTTGCAGAAGTAAACACAAGCTATCATGAAGCTGTTGCTAAGCCCTTCAAGAACCTGTCACCATCCTGTCTGGAACATCAGCATTAGGGATACTCTTGACATCCCAGCTTTCCTGTTCCCTGCCCCCAGGTCCACCCCACATAAAAGATGACTCTGCATGGACATCTGTTCTCCACAGTTCTCCCAGGAAGTACGGGAAAGGGTGAAGCTAAACTGCTCATTTGTCTACTAAGCCCGGCTACTGAGAATGCTTCAAACCAGTTTAACACTGGATTAGAGCCCAGGACACAAGATACCTGTCTCAAAGACATCTCTTGAGTCTTTATTTATAGCTGGAAGTATACATGGTCCTTTCTCTGGCATTAGCTAAGAGGAGGTCCCACTGACAGACACTAGGAAGAAGGGAATGAGGGGAAGGAAGGTAATTCAGGAAGCAAGGACCTACTGAGGTCACAACATGGGGACCTATTAAAAGATACACCAGGTTGCAGAAGGATATGATATGGATATACTTCAAAGACCAACTTCCACTAACTTAGCTCCAAGCACACCTGAAATTCCTTTCCCTGGTGAGGGTCAGTTCTCCCTTTCCAGAGACCCTAAATTTACCTTCCACCACCCCTCCCCCCACCTCCCTAATATAGGTAACTTCACAGCTGCTTCTCACTCAGATGGAGTCAACCCCTTAATCCAGGGGACTGGAATGTTTGGCCAGATGGCTCTTCCGGGGCCCTATTTTCATAAGCCCTGGGGTTCCTACCAGAAACTTCTCCACTGCACCTAGCCCTGCCCTTAAACCATCTTCCCCTTTGTTCTTTAAGGCGACCTTCTCCCCTCACCTCCAATGATCACCTCCCTCCAATCCCCTCTCCTTCAGGAAGTTTCCTTTCCTTTGCCCATCCCTTCCAAAGGGTCTCCCTTCCCATACCCCCTCCTCTCCCTTCCCATTCCTCTCCCTTCAAGCGCTTAACTGAGTACCTTGCATACAGTAGGCGCCTAATACGTGCTTCTTTCCTCCCTCCCTTTCATCTCTCCTTCCTTGCAGAAGTCTCCTCTGCCAGCTCCCGCCTCTCTCCAGGGAGTTTCCCTTCCTATCCTCCCCTCCCCCCACCCCGGAGTCTCCCTTCAAATCCTCTCCGGACACGCCTCTCTCCTGTCCCCCTCCTGTCGCTGCTACCCGGTCATCACGTCACCCGTGCCCTCTTCCCCACGATAGGCCTCTGCCATTCCGCTGCCCCTCGGGAAGCCAGCCCTCCCACGTCCCCTCCTTCTCCTCCGGCCGCGCCTGTCTCGGCCCCGCTCACCTCCAGCGGTTGATGCCCACCGAGGACGAGGCCGCGAACCACGGGTCGAGGATATAGACGCATCGCACGCAGCGCGCCCCGCGCAGGGCCGCCTGCAGCGCGGGGTTGTCGTGAAGCCGCAGCCCCTTGCGGAACCAGTGTACCGAAGAGGCGCCTTCCTCCGGGGCCGGGGCCGGGGTCTGGGTCTGGGTCTGGGTCGGCGTCGGGGTCAGGGCCGGAGCTGGAGCCGGAGCAGGAGCAGGGGCAGGGGCGGGGGCAGGGGCCGCGGCCGCAGCCGGCACCTTCACCACAGTCGTCGCCGCCATCACACTCCGGACTGCGGCCGGCACCCCCGCTCCGCCCAGGTTGGGCCCTCAGGCCCCGCCCCTTCTCGATACCTCGACCAATGGGGCTTTCTCTGCGCTTGCTGGCCCGCCCCAATGCTCTCAGAAAGCCAGTCCTACTGGTTCGGGGCTTCCCGCGGGCTGATTGGCTCAGAGGCCCGGGACTGATCCCGCCCCGTCACGTTCCCACCATGTGTGTCGGCAGGGGGCGGGGCCCAAGGGCGGGGTGGTGGTGACGCACTGCGACTGCGTGGGCTGGCGTCCCGAGGCTTTCTGCCTACGTCTGTTTGTCTTATTCCACTGTGGGTACCCAGGGAGGCGTCTGGTCTTGGGCCGGTCGGCGGTTCACGGGCACGCGTGCTCCTGCCTTCGCGAGGAATGCTCCACTTGCTGCTTTTGCCCCCACTTGCTGCGGTTTGCCCCACCCTCCGGGCCCCGCCTCTCCCTGAGTCCGGTTCTGGATTGGGGTGGGGAAGGGGCGGGGGAGTGTCCCCGGCGGGGGCGGGGCGCAGTCGGAGGTCCCAGCCCCCTCCACCGTTCTCTCGGAGGGCGTGGGATGGGCTTTGGCCTCGGCTCCCGGTTCTGCCCGAATGAATGAGCGCTGTGTTAGAGGAGCAAAGCGGTGCCAGCCCTCAGGTTTACAGGGCCTGGGGGTCCCTCGCTTTCCCCTTCCTCTTCTTGTTCAGGGTGGGCTAGCCCCCTGGGGAGCAGAAGCACCAGGCGGGCAACCAGCATTTATTAAGCACCTACGGTATGTCAGAGGACAACATACCACCTGTAAGAGTGGGCGCCGCCGGTGCCATATATACCTATACATACCCACATACATGTTAGATATAGGTACGTAATATACACACACATACGCAAAGATAATTGATCTAATGTGACGCTTCTTACCCTTTTGGGGTCACAGAGCCTTTGGCAAGTCTGGTGAGTCTTTTGAACCCCTTCTCAGAAAAATGTTTTTAAATGAATGAAACACATAGAACGACAAAAGAAACCAATTATATTGGAATCCAGTTATCAAAATGTTTTTAGAAATGGGTTCATAGCTCCCATGTTTAGAACCCCTACTGTATACTTCTTTTCCTTCCTTCCTTCCTTCCTTCCTTCCTTCCTTCCTTCCTTCCTTCCTTCCTTCCTTCCTTCCTTCCCTTCCTCTCCCTCCTCTTCCTCTTCCTTCCTTCCTTCCTTCCTTCCTTCCTTCCCTCCCTCCCTCCCTCCCTCCCTCCCTCCTTCCTTCCTTCCTTCCTTGAAACATGGCTAATATGCAAACATTTTGTATGACTTCACATGTATAATTGATACTATATTGCTTGCCTTCTCAATGGGTGGGGGAGGGGATGGGGGAGGGAAAGAATTGGGGACTCAAAATTTTTAAAAATGAATTAAAAAAAGTATAAATTATTAAAAATAAATAAAATTTTAAAAAATTAAAGACCCCTTGCTGTAATAGAATGTAAGCCCATTGAAGGCAGGGACGTTTAGTTTTTGTCTCTATACTCCCAGTACCTAGCCTAGCACACTGCTTGACAGACAGTAGGTCCTTAATGCCTGTCATTTGAGTGATCAATTTTCTTTTCTAACCCTTCCAGAGCTAATATTTGTATTCTAAAGTCTCTTCCAGCTCTGTGATTCTATGATTCTCCCTATAACAGTTTAGAACCAGGAAGTACTACTGGCATTGACCCTTGGGCTAGAGTCCTAATGCCACTTTGGGCGTTTGGGGAAAATAGAAGCAAGTCCAAGGAAGAGCAGAAATGCTTGAAGGAATGAAAACCAGTTGGGTTTATACCATGTGGTGACAGAAAGGCTCAGAGCTGATATAATAGCTACAGGTGAATTCTGCCTGGTGAGGTTCAGGCAAAAATGAATGTTTTATGTTGCAGGGTGCATGGGTTCCACAGAGAAGCTGTTCCAAATGGACAGTTAGGGAAATTGCCTTACAGCTAGGTTTGATGTTTTTTTTAGTGGACTCAATATGATATGGACCAGGCTAGGACACGATATGTGAAGTCAAATCCTACCTTTGAAATTTATTAGCTATGTGACCCTGGGAAAACTACTTAACCCCTCAGAGCCTGTTTTAAGTGGGTTAATGATGGTAACGAATGCCTTGTGAGTTCAGATCTGGTCTCAGACACTTATTAGCTGTGTGACCCTGGGCAAGTCACTTCACCCTGTTTGCCTCAGTTTTCTCACCTGTAAAATGAGCTGGAGGAGGAAATGGCAAACCACTCCAATATCTTTGCCAAGAAAACTTCAAGTGGGGTCATGGAGAGTCAGACACAACAATAACAACAATAAAAGTGATTGGCAAACTTTAAAGCCCCTGTCTATATCAGTTATTATTATCATGTATTTGAGGATGTCAGTGCCTAATGATATTGATCAGGGCAATCTTATTTAGGATATGATCCTCTATACCCCAGAGATATACACTTATTATGCGAAATGTGATAGTTCTGTCCAGGAATGGGCAGAACAAAAGAAAGCTGGCTTAGTGTGCATTAAGAGAGGTTTACTGGAAAAGCTTACATGAACTGATGCAAAGGTAAGTGAGCAGAACCAGGGGAACGGTTGTACACAGTAACAGCAATATTGTATGATGATCAACTGTGAATGACTTAGCTATTCTCAGCAATACAATGGTCCAAGACAATCCCAAAAGACTCATGATGAAGTATGCTGTCCATCTCCAGAGGAAGGACTGATAGAATCTGAATGCAGACTGAAGCATGCTGTTTTTCCTTCCTTCCTTCCTTCCTTCCTTCCTTCCTTCCTTCCTTCCTTCCTTCCTTCCTTCCTTCCTTCCTTCCTTCCTTCCTTCCTTCCTTCCTTCCTTCCTTCCTTCCTTCCTTCCTTCCTTTCCTCCTTCCCTCTTTCCTTCCCTCCTTCCCTCCTTCCCTTCTTCCTTCCTGGGTCATACAAGTTATATACAAAGGAGATGAAAGCATTCTGAAAGAAGGAGTTAGCAGCTTGGAGGACTGGGAAAGGCATACAGAAGGTAGGATTTGAATTGAGTTTTGAAAGAAGACAGGGAAACTAAGAGGCAGAAAGGAGAACATTCCAAGCATGAGGCACAGTATGAAGACATGGAGGCTGGAGATGTGAGGAACCACCAGGAGGCTAAGTGTCCTTGGAATGTAGAGTTTGAGGAAGTAGAAGAGGCCAGGTTAAATGCCTGATCTGGGAGGTAATAGGGAGCTGCTGGAGCTTGTTGGGGGAGACGGGAAGAGCTGAGAGAATGGATTGGAGTGAGGAGACACTTGAGAAAGGGATGCCAATGAGAAAGCTTTTGCAAAAATTATAGGATTGGGGTTAGAGCAAGCCAAGGTTGGACAAAGAGCATGAGAAGACAACTTAGCTCTTGGTGGAAGTGGGACATCTACACTGTTCCACATTGTACATTTTTTTCAAACTTTTAAAATCAGGTATGCTGATTCGTTGTCTTCTCTTCTTTGTCTTCTCCTCCTCCTCTTCCTTCTCCTTCTCCTCCTCTTCTTCTTCTTCCTCCTTCTTGCCCTTTGAAGGGGAAGGAGAAGGGGAAGGGGAAGAAATACTAGGGGAAATTTGGAAATGTTAAGAAAAAAATCAATAATGTTTTTTAAAGAGTTGGCTATTGCAGTAGGTTGGGCAAGAGGTAACAAGGGCTTGGACTGTGAGCAGAGAGAATAAAATCGTTGTGGGAGATACTGTGAAGGTCAAAACAATGAAATCTGGCAACTGATCAGCTGTATAGGGGAAGTGTGAGTAGGTCAAGAGTCAGATGCCAAGATTCTGAGCCTGGGTGACTGGAAAAAAAGAGGTGCTCATGACAGTGAATAGGGAAGCTGGTGAGAGGGAAGGTTTTGGGGGAAAGGTAAATGGTTGTGTTTTGGACACATTAAGTTTGCCTAAAGGATGGCCAGTTCGAGTTTCCCAAAGGGCAGCTGGGCTGAATGTAGAGCTCTTGGAATCATCTGCATAGAGATGATAATTGAACCCATGGAAGCTTGATGAGACCACCAAGTGAGAGAGTATGGTGAGAAGAAAGGCCAAAGTGAAGACAAGCTAATGGAGGAGAGGAGGGAAGGGAGCTGTTCTTGAATGGGATTCATTTTTTCAATGAAGTATGATGCAAAGTCCTCAGTAGGGTAGGGGGGTGTCATGTGAAGCATAACAGTGTAATGGAGGATTGGCCAATAGGAGGCCCACTCTAAGAGCATGGGTCCTACAAGCAACTACTCTGTCCATTGGCCATACTATATTTGGAAGTGAATTCAGTGGAGGCTTGAGTTTACTTTTCCCAGACACCGAGGCAGGATAGGAGAAAGTGTGTCCCCACGTGATAAGGAAAAATATATTTGTATTTTTATTCATGCTATATCTACTCAATAAACATACCCTTGTAAAAGCTAATTGCTGTTAATTGATTAAATAATAATGGAATGCTAATCTCTGGTGAGTGTTGATAATATAAGGGAAATACTAGCTATAACTGGTAATTGATATTGGGGAGAACACACTGAAATTGGAGTTTGGGGGCAATAGTAGTAGAGAAGAGACTTGTAACCCCTCTAGGAAACACCTAGAACCCTGAAGTGGATAGATGTAGCTAGCAAGCCTCTGGAGGATCTAGCTCTTTAGTGCAAATGAGAGTTGGGATAAATAACTCCATTATTTACATGTACTAAAAGAAGTTTTGAAACAGCCACTATAAAGAGTGGGATAGTGTTAGGGGGCAGCTAGGTGGCGCAGTGGAGGGAGCACTGGCCCTGAAGTCAGGAGGATCTGAGTTCAAATGTTACCTCAGACCAAACACTTGACGCTTACTAGCTGTGTGACCCTGGGCAAGTCACTTAACCCCAATTGCCTAAAAAGATAAAAAAAAAAGTGGGATAGTGAAGTGATTGAAAGAAATAGGACAATTGCCTTGCTGCAGTGAGAATCCAGTTGAGAGGATTACTTAGATTTAAAGTGGAGCCAACCAGCACAGTTTTGTGATCTTTTCCAGCTCTGTTCAGAAGCATGTG